GAGAGAGAGAGAGAGAGAGAGAGAGAGAGATCTGAGACTCGGTGACTATTCGGGTGATTGCCCAGACTAGGACATTGTATTCTGGTTTGTGGAGACTATTCTTTCACAGGGCTATCGAGTTGCAGGCTCCCCTTTTTTTTCCCCTCTTTGTCTCTTCCTCTGTCTCCGTTTGTCTATGGCTGCGCTGGCACATGTCCGCTACCTTCTATGTTTGAGCCACTACCTTCTATGTTTGAGATCTGTGTACGTCAGTTTTTGGCTGCAGTGTCATTGTTGTTTCTCTTATGGCGATCCTTGGTTCCTGCGTCATGGCTATCTAATGGTAATAGGCAATAAGAAAAAGAAAAGAGAGAGAGAGAGAGAGAGAGAGAGAGAGAGAGAGAGAGAGAGAGAGAGAGAGAGAGAGAGAGAGAGAGAGAGAAGGAGAGAGTTATGCACAAAGAAAAGCAGGGGTGGAGGATTGGAAAGAAGTAGCAAATGATAGGGGAACTTATTATTATGCCTTCCGTTGTTTTTCTAAATTTTCATTGTGTTTTTTTTCCACCGGCGTATTTTCACGAGGTCATCCACTCTATTTACTTATTGTATAATTTGTGACCATCTTCTATGTCATCAACGTTGATGGCTATCATTTAGTTGGGTTGGTGAAGAAGGCCAAGAAGGGGAAGAAGGTCAGGATCCTGAACCCTAAACCCTAAACCCTTTCTCATTCACACACAAAATGCGTGCGCATCACCTCTCTGTCTCTTGTGTTACATGCCCAGTTGGGCTATGTGTTCAGCCAAGGATCCGCAATGTGATGAAAATGACTAAATGGACAATGTACTGTTAGTGCAACATCAACAGACAAAGTACATCCCGATACATGAAAAATGGCACATTTGATAGCACAGCAGAAGACTTTGAGGTAAGTCCTGACCTGACCTAGACTGTCACGACATCCCATCATACATCAGACATGTGAGAAGATGAGGAGGGACCGCATACACAGAAGAAGGTCCCTCCCTTTACACACACATGGGGTGATACCACGGATGAGAGATGGAGGGGGAGGAAGGACGAAGATGGAGGCGAGGGAGAAGACCAAGATCGCAATAGCGAAGTCCAAAATAGTCCCTTGCCGATGTCCAACCAATGCCTGCCTCAAAAAATATCGAATCAGATCCTGGGCCACATGCCCGTTGCAACCTCTGCCTGTATCCTCTGTAAGTAACCACTCTCACTCTCGTAGTCTGCTGGTGCAGTGAAGTCAGGTAGCGAGAGGGTAAGAGAGAGATGGTGGACTGAGTAGAGGAGAAGAAGAAGTTTCTCTCTCTCTCTCTCTTTTCCAAGTGCCAGGTACTAACCTGTGATGATGGCGCTGTGCTGCAGGTACCTCGATGGCGAGCTGGAGCTATGGCGCTGCAGGTAAGTCTCCCTGGCCTCCGCCCWATCTCTGTCTCCCTCCAACGCTACTCTACCTCCTACTMSCGCCMAGYGCTGAAGACTATAGCTAACRCTACTACTACTACTGCAGCGCTCCTCCAGAGTGCTGCTGCCGAATGCTGAAGACTACTCCCTGCCTGTAGAAGTGCACGTCGAGTGCCTGGGCAGTCTCTCTATCCCTAACTGTAGGGCGGGCCAGTCTTATATAGTGCTGGCCCGTCCAGGAGGCTGCTCTTGCCAATGCCTCTACGTGCTAGCCCCTGGGGAATCTTCAGGGCAGGTCGCACCTGCCAATGCCCGAACGTGCTTGTTTCAGGGCAGGTCGGTCTGACGAGGGACCGAGAATAGCCCTCAGTTTCAGGCCGAAAAGGCTCCGGCCTTTTTTCGGCTGAAACGATACAGGGCCTGTGGGCCCCGGATGTCAGGCTTTCGGGCTGA